TTAACCTAACTAGCTTTTGCCCATGGCTTTGTCTGCTTGAATTTCAATCTGTTACGAGGGTAAAAACTATGTTTCTAACTGTCTAAGATGACTGGACTTGAAAATATTTTTACGAGAGTCTGCCTTGATAATTAAGCTAAGAAAATAAATAAAATACTTGGTTTATTTAAGTAGTTTAACATTTTAACAAAAGGTACATAACTTAATTAAATATTAGCAAATACAATAAACTTCTTGAAATCTATATTTACAAAAGCGAAAGGTCACTGATTGGCTGACTGACTGACTCTTTAAAATAAAACAAAATTCAATCCCTAAGGAGGTAAAACGGGATCCACGCGTACGAAGTCGCGGGCGGCCGCTAGTGGTAATACAATAAATGTAAATTATTTTTGAGGATATCTACCACGTTTAATTATTTCACACTATTTCATTTCAGCTTCATTTCCCTTTATTTTCGCGGAAATACAGCTGGAAACTTCTCTTCAATGAGATGAAAAGTAATTTATAGCGACACATTCTAAATAATCCCTTTGCTTGAATATGCAAGCCATTCAACTAATGGAAATGGAAACTGAATAGAATATGAGATGGAAATTGAAACTAAAATGGACATTCACAAATATATAGTTTATAGCTTTGTCTTTAAAAACATCAAAAATTTTGTAAAATTGGGGAATTGATTTGCTCTTTCGTTATTCAAATTAACTAGGTATTTTTCTTGTTCTCCGAGAGTGCATAAAGTCAGATAAAATAGTACAACGTAATTAATTGTTATCGTAACTTTTGCCATTTCGTTACGGGTCCAATGACAGTAACAGAATTTATAGAATGCATCAATAAATAAAATGGCGCTAAAAAACCATATTTACAAAAGTGTGACTCGTGCCGTTTTCGAAATGACGGGTTCAACTTTCCCCCGGGACAAACTTGACCTTCACTGGTTGGGTTTTTATTGGCGGTCAAGCTGTAGATCCTGGCTACACGGGAGTTGCAGCGGTGGGAATGAGAGGTGGGAATAGTCCCATGTAGGGCTATCGTTTTTATACTTAACAGTTGGCACCCCTGGCGATTGACAGGACCTTACTCTACAGTGGCGCCATCTTGATGAGTGCAAATGCGATAGTCCTCCTACCACTTTAGCGCTCACCAGTTGGTGCCACTGTCTTCGCTACTAGCAAGTGACAGGACCTTACTCTACAGTGGCGCTAACTGGTGAGCGCTAAAACGATAGCCCTCATTACTGAGCCCAAACGAGCCTCTATCTACCTCTGTCGTTAATTGATGAGGAGATTGGGAAATCCTACAGTTACCAAGTGATGCCTCACTTACTTCGTTTCCATAGTATTCCAATATCAACGGATTCCTAGAAATAGGATTTCCAGACAGCTGGTTGGTAGCGGCCTGCATCCAGCGCCTTCCTCCTACTACCTTTATGAGGTCGTCTGTCCATCTTGTGGGGTGGACTTGCACAATTTAATGAAGAAATAGTAATTTTATAAAAGCAAGAAGATACGACAGTAACGAATAATAATAATAACGAACAGTGAATAATACGTAACTTATGATAATAAAAAGAAACACAAGATTTATAAACAATATTTTTGAATACCAAAACATGGGATGGGATGGAATGGGCGTCCGATTTAACACCCTCGTCAAAATAAAATACTCGGTGGGAGTGTCCATAGCACTCGTTTGTAATAATATCCCACTACATCCTTGTTTGTGACTTGTTTTCCATTTTAATATCTAAAATACAGACAAAAAGGTTATGAGTAGGTTCTAAAGGTAGTAGAGCGGTGCGGAATGTTAATTAAAAAATATTTAGGCACAATTCATACCCTAAAAGGGGGAAATGGGGTGACAAATTCAGAAAACGAGACTATTCCCACCTCTCGTTCCCACCGCTGCAACTCCTGTGTAGCCAGGATCTACAGCTTGACCGCCAATAAGCATCCAACAAGGTCAAGTTGCTATAACAGTTCTCCAGCTTTAAGATGTTACTTTAGAACTTGCCTCAAAGAATTTTCTTAACATTACTGCTGTCGCAACTAATAACCTCTATTAACTTAACAAATGAGAAAACATTTAATTGCTTCTGTACAGTAGCTGTACCACTAGCACGAAAACTTTCGACTTCGAATCGTTTGCGTTTCAATGGCCATCAAAAGATTTAAATAACGCCCCCCTGTGAATGTGACGTGAAGTGAACTTAGTTTAAGAAATGGTAGCACGAAATTTTAAGAATCGAGATCGTCACGTCACGTTATCGTTAAATTCGAAGACTGGGTATTAAATTTTGTCGAATACGCAAACGATTCAAAGACGAAAGTTTTTCGTGCAAGAGGTACTGTTTTGCCGACTTCTGTAATATTATTTTCCTCTATTATAAGAAACTGTTATTGCTGGTTTAAGATAAAAGTTTGTGTTGCAATTAAGTAGAAGTGTCGTAAGTTTGATAGTTTTCAACCGACTACAGAAACAAGTACCTTCCTTCTTAGATTAAATGGACCCAGGACACCAAAGTAGAGTCGCAGTTTTTGAATCTGCTTGATTTATGTTATTATTTTCCCAAGGTTTTTTCCGCATGAATTTCAGTTTGTCAAAAATAGTTTTTATACGAACAAAAATTGACAATTTAATCTTTAATTTTTGCAAACGGATCCCTAAATCGTAAAACAGTCTTAGAAACCCCTAAATCATTTTAAAAGACCTATCCAACGATACCCCACACGATGGAGTAGAAGATAAAAAAAAAATATCCCCATTTTGTTTACACGTAGGGGAGCTACACAAAATTTTTTTTTCTTTTTCTATTTATCTCCACAAAATTACAGCTCTCTAGTGCCAATAGTTTCCGAACAAAACCTCGAACAGACACACACACAACGAAACTATAAGGGTTCCGTAGTCCTGACAAGGAAATGTCTTGTCAGGACTACGGAACCCTAAAAACCGTCAAAGAAACAAATCACGCAGACTCATTAGGCCATTGTCTGTTACGAACATTTGAAGACACCTGCAAGTTCGAGCTAACACGAAAAGGCTTTCAAGCGTCCGCCTACGGTTCGCGCCTAGGGTTGCCAAGTGTCCGGATTTTACCGGACATGTTCGTCTTTTGACAGAGATGTCCGGAAAAAATTTTCTCGTCCAGTCTGTCCGTTGTTGGCCTTTTTATGTGACTGCCGCACCAGTATAAAACTACGACTTTTATAACAAAGTAATGTTTTACTCTAAAAGCCAGACATACCTTTTTAATAGCTAATGATGGCTTTTTAAAGGCCCTGGTATATTCTAAAAGCAGTAAAATATTTCATAATTTAAAAAATCGCGCCGTGGCTTTAGTTGTGGGCTCGACTTTCGACTTCCGACCGGACAAGAGAATATTTGGCCGCCGGACACGTCCGTAAAAAGCCAAACATGTTCGGCTATAGCCGGACACCTAGCAACCCTGTTCGCGTGGCCATAATGAGTACCAATTTGAGATTCTCGCCTGATTGGTGAAGAACAGAGAAAATTGTGTTTTTCTCTCTGTAAAGTCTGTAAAAGACGGTTAAAACATTTTCTTGGTGGGTATAATGATCATAACTTGTTTCTCTTATTTAAGATGGGGTCCTTTGGGGCATTGGAATAATGGATTTAATTGCAGACAATTCTGAAATATCTTTTTCAAATAAGCACTCATCTGTTTCTGTTAATAGTCATTTAAATACACGTAGAATATAAAAAATCATACAAGGTAATTTTGAATTTAGTTAGAGACCGGGTATTAAATTAAGTTAAAAGCTCATTGTTTAGATTAAGACCCAATTGTAAACACTTAATATGCAATAAAAAATTTGAATTTGAATTTGAATTTGACCTATTCAAAAAACCAAAGCACAAAAACTAAGTGACTAAAAGTGGCGAAAAAATATTTATAAGCTCTACCTAAAGCCATTTGAGAGGCAGAAAGTGCCTGTCTGTAGTGTGAATAATAGATAATAATATCTACCTACCCATTTGTATGATTTGAATAAAAATCTTTAAAAATATTTGCCAGGTCCATGGCTTTGCGAGGCATACTGGCATCTATTAAATGCTCAAAAAATATTGCAATACCTAATAGAATTTTTAATAAAAAGATAATACATAATCACAAAAATTCTCATTGCTTGCTTTCGTCCAGGCGAAAAACTTGTATAGCTAAACGGCTTAAAACCAAAGTATAGTAGCGCCCTCTGTCGTAGTTATAAAAGTGCACTATCTACAAAAGCATCATGAAACTAACTGGAGCTTTTGCTTTTAAAGCACCAATTATGAAATACCTACCAAAGCCAAAAGATGGATGTGTATATATGTGACTTTTTAAGAAACAGATTAAAATACATTTATTTCCAGTGAATCTATTTCAGCTTGGTATATGATTAAAGAAGAAGAAGCTAGGTAGGTATACGGTTTACGAGGATTTTCGCGAATGAAAAATCCGCCAGATGGCAATACGTAGACGCGAGGTCCAAATTTGACACGACATTGACAGATATGTCAAAATCCACCAATCACGCAGCAGTCAGACCCCACATCCACGTCCCGCCATCTAGCGGATCTTTCATTCGCGAAAACCCTAATTTGAAAAACTTCATGCTATTTTTCTTCAACTAAGTATGTTTAAAAAGGTGATTTAATTAGAACTCTTACTTTAGTGCAGGGGTCTCCAAACTACGGCCCGCGGGCCATATCCGGCCCGACACTGCCATCAATCCGGCCCGCGACAGACAGCTTAAGACTAAGCCTATGATTGCATAGATGGGCAGAAAAATTAAAATTGTTACGGCCCTTGCAACATACCGAAAAAAAATATTATGGCCCCAAGGCTTCAAAATGCAATATTGCATAAATGCATAATTATTTAATCTGATTTTTCTGTGATACCTACATAAAAAGCATTAAAATATACTCAGTGTATTTGAGACTGAACCTGGAGGAACAAGTATTGTTATAAAAATAAAACTATCAAATAGAACTAAAAAAACTTTATTATTGCTACGTAAGGGTGTCTTCTGATCGAATATATTCTCCGATATCCGCCTGGTGGAAGGCTATCGTTGCTAGGGGGTCAGCATGCCGGCACTCTGTCGTTGAACGAGCTGCAACTCCAAAGCCAATGGGGACGTCTGACATCGTGAAAATAACTACACCCTGGTGTTTCGGGGTGTTTTCTGTTATTCTGCCGAGACCTGTAACAGATATGGTAGACACTGTGAAGACTCGATAAAACAAATAAGTATAAATTACAAAGTAACACTGAAAAGATGATAATTTTTCAGAAACTGGCCAAGGATAAATTTTATAGCAAATTACTATTTTTATATGTATTCATAAGCTAAATTAAAATTACAAAAATATGACTGTTTCTTCGACTGGTGTCAGACTATATTGCTAATTGCTATGCTTTTTGAGATAGAATAGCTTATCAAAGGGCATTATTTACAGTCTGTACACTGACATTCAATTTTATTGGATTTTATAATTGACTTGCTAAGTACTAGGTATCTATGTACATAAGCTTATGCCCGTTTTCACCATCAATCTGTAATTTTTAGTGAAATTTCTGTTGTGTTACCATAGAGGTCACTTAAAAATTAGGGATAAGACTTTACCAAACCAAAGTTTATTGCAAATGTTACATTTAGAGACACTGATTAACTTACCACTCTTGATAACATGGTGACCATACAAAAACTGCTGTTCCATTGACGGCTTCACCCAAATCTTGTAATGAGCGTACGGAGCAATATATGTCAGCGCTGTTATGTGCAACCTGAACTTGTTTGTTTTGGTAAACTTGCCAAAACACGTCCCCGCCGATATTAAGTGATCCGGTTTCACGGTTTGGGCCAACTGTAAAAGTCGCTCTGAAATATAATAAACTCGGTCTTTCTTCTCTCTAAAGCAGTAAGTACCGTCCGGTCTGTCTATTAGCAGCTTCACATTCATTCCAATGCTGTAATTTAGAGAGAAAATCACCATTAAAACGGCACCAAAGAGGCTGAAACTTATTGATAAAAAACACTATGATAGTATGAAACAGTGTAAGGAAATTAATGAATACGTACTATTTAGTAAGTTTCTCGAATAATATCCGAGTTCTATCCTCTGAAAGGACTTTCATTTTGATTTAAATAATTATTTTGGTAATAACAACACGTGCAAACCACCGCGGAACGAGAAAGTGACAGTATTGACATTGACGTTTTGACGTACGTGACGTACGAATTGACAATAGTAGGGATGTGTGTGAGTCATGTGATATCTAATAGCAGCTCCGTAGCTTGGCGTATTTTTCTGTAATATTATTTTTCCTTTCATTCAAATAAAAAAAATAAAGACTTGTGGACGTGTGATATAAATATGTAAATTTTATCATTCAACATTATCATATTATTTCAAGCGGGTGTCTATGGACGATGGTAATCACTAACCTACCATCAGGTGATTCGTCTGCTTGTTTGCCTCCTGTCACATAAAAAAAAACAATATAAAGTATTGTTTTTTTTAAGTTATACTAAAAAATATAATTTAAACTTTAATTAAAGTATTACTCTATAGCATTTAATTTTAAGAAAACATTTTTCAGACTCATCTTGATTGTGATCTTACATAAAAGTAATACTATCTAGTACGTCTTATTATGTTATGTGATACTACCAACCATAGAGTAATGCTACCAACTGCTACTAGAGTGAAATAATGACAGTCACTACTACATAGTATTTAAAATCGGTTAGCAGCCCTACCTTACGATTGGTTTTCGTTCAGAAATAGTAGACTACCGTGATTTCATAAAAAAAAGAAACTGTTTATTTACGAACTATTTGAAATAGCTTCAGGATTAATATTACTAGGTATTTACTACAATGAATAATCTAATATTTTGTTGTATTTTTTTAACCACAATATAGCAAGTCAAGGAGAACAACACTTCAAATAAATGTTACAATCTGCATCATTCACTCACTTACCCATTCACTCATCACAGTCAACTTCAGTCAAGTCAAGGGGGATAGAGCGAGACAGTGGTAAGTTTTCCTTTTTCTTTCTTGTTTTTCCCCAAAACAGGAAACAGTGGATTGTTTTATAACTTTATAAATAAACATGATATTAATTTAAGATCTACTTAAGGATTAAAAACACACGGATATGCATTTTTTTATTATTATTCAACAACTGATAAAATAAAAACATCTGTTTGTTTCGACCTTGTTTTGGTTAAAATTGCGTTTACCGACTGTTTCTCACGTGACGTAAACAGAAAACGTAGTCCAGTCAATGAATGCCTTAACGATGGTGTAGAGAGAAATCCGTGGAACACAATTTCTGACCTCGGGACTTTATTTAGCCTAGTTAGGTGGTGAACATAGCAAAAGTCCCCGCCCTTAGCCCTTGAGCCGGCGGGGAGAGGGGGGTTTAAAGGTACCACTTTTCGGTTTTTCGCTTAATCCTCGGAAACTATGAGTCCTACTGACGTGACTACTATGAACCAAAAAAAGCTTATTCAATTTGCTATAGGTGAGACCGTCAAGTTTTTCTATATCTTGTATAGTTTTTGCAGCATCTGCTCTAGAAGGTCTGTAAAATTGGAAATTTTATTGTTGTATTACATGTTCCTTTCAGGAGAAAATCGACTAAATCAACATTGAGCAAACACTATAGACATGTGGGAGTATGTTAAGCCTAGTTCCATGGAGGGGACTGCACCGTGCGTATATTTAGACGAACCAATTAGAGCCACTTTTGACTCCTCATCATTCAAAAACTACTGTGCATTAACACTTCAAATTTGGCTCATGTATTGAGACTTGCAAGATATACATCAGCTTCAAATTTCATAAATATACCTCAAACGGTTATTTAGGTATTGACGTTCAAAAATCGATATTTAGAGCACTAAAATCTATCTATCACATGTGAAATGTTAAAATTTACTGGTTTTTTATTTGTTCCTTTGTATTTACATAACTACCTTTCTGGATGCCAAATTTGAACCTTCGAGGTCATCTGGAAGTGGTTAGAATTTGGTCTATAGGTCAGACATGTAGATTTTTGGACGTCAATATCTAAAGAACCGTTTGAGGCATATTTATGAAATTTGAAACTGATGTATATCTTGCAAGTCTCAACACATGAGCCAAATTTGAAGTGTTAATGCACAGTAGTTTTTGAATGATGAGGAGTCAAAAGTGGCTCTAATTGGTTCGTCTAAATATACGCACGGTGCAGTCCCCTCCATGGAACTAGGCTTAACATGCTCCCGCATGTCTATAGTGTTTGCTCAATGTTGATTTAGTCGATTTTCTCCTGATGGGAACATGTAAGACAAAAATAAAATTTCCAATATTACAGACCTTCTAGAGCAGATGCCGCGAAAACTATACAATTTATAGAAAAACTTGTCTATCTCACCTGTAGCAAATTGAATATGCTTTTTTTGGTTCAAAGTAGTCATGTTACTAGGACGCATAGTTTCCGAGGATTAAGCGAAAAACCGAAAAGTGGCACCTTTAAACCCCCCTCTCCCCGCCGGCTCAAGGGCTAAGGGCGGGGACTTTTGCTATGTTCACCTCTTAACTAGTCTAAATAAAGTCCTGAAGTCAGAAATTGTGTTCTACAGTTTTCCATCTATAATGCTTTATTGACTGGACTAACGCCTAATCGGATGCTTTGTACTTTAGTTAGAACATTGCGTGCTAATTTAGGTGTTTTTGGATGTATGTAGTATGTGTTATAATTTAGGGTCTAAACTTTAGGGTGTTGTAGGTATAGTACAACCTACCTATAGACGTTCCTACCAGACTACCTGCCTACCGGTCTAACAGGTCCCTAATATGACAAATAATTTGCTGCATTTAGGGAGCTCCATTAGCTCCATACTCGAATCAAACTGGAAATAGTTGCAGAATTAATGCATCCAACGTTGATAAATATAGTTTGAAACTTTATTAATCTAAGGTTTGAAAATGTATAAACTTAGTATACTTGTTTATTACTTCATTATCGAGGACTAAACAGGACTGTAATCTATTAGTTTATATTTGAATTAATTTGCTTTGATTAGTCACTATAAACAGTTAGGTAAGTACCTACTAATAAGTACGCTATGTACGTTTACTATCAGCGGCGAGTAGGTTAGGTTATACTTACCTATACTTACAAGAAGGCTATTAATTAGATGCAATACTAAAAATCAGTCTTTTAAATATTATTGTACCTATCTGTGTTCCGGAAGTCACTCTTGATCCGGGAGTTCTGTTCTGGAAGTTGCGGACTCGATTCCCAGGCCGGGTCGCAAATAAAAACGATTTGTTCCCAGTTTGCTCAGAAGTCAGAACATTAAAGATTTGAATGGCTTTATTTATCCAAAATTACATTATTATGATTTTGTGCTTCGGAGAGCACATTAGGGCAGATTAAGCCACGTCTGAGACTAATATGCCTTATAAAGCCTGACACCAGAGATCATCCCTACCATCATCCCATCATCGTCCCTTTTTTTTTACGTCAGGAAAATACATTGATTTGTATACCCACCAGCCGCGGGGGCAGTTAGTGGGTTATGTGGGGTTCTCCCTGCCAGAAGGACAGGCCCTACCCACTAAAAACCTGACGTTGCCCTCGGTAGCCATATGAGTCGGGAACGCGGGACATCACTATCGGCGTTTTGCCTCAAGCATTCGTCCGCGTTCCTTGCTCGGCATTCGGCTCGCTTAGTGCGCAGCCCCAAACCAAGGAAGGCGTTATTACGCCTTCAACCTCCTGCGAGCGGCACGCAGGACACGTGCTGCGCCGTCGCGGATCCCATCATCATCCCAAGCCAACTATGATGTAGGTACAGTCAGCGTCAATTAGTTCGTGAAACCCCAAGTGTCCAAAAAATTGACAACAAAAAACAAAAACGTGTTGCAAACTTTTTAAGTTTGAGTGTCACGCACGAACAATAAAGTATTTGACGCTGACTGTACTAGTAAATTGTCCTCTAACTCAAACAACCGTAAAACCGACGATAAATTGCTTTGTCCTAAATTAAAAACGCACTGTTTTTGTACGGACGGCACATCAAGCTAACACTATCATCTTTATATCGTTGTAATAAGTACGATTCTGCAACAAAAATGTATAACCTGATATGCTGTTGACTGTAATCAGTAATTACCTACTTGCCTTACCATGGAGGTCACCCATCGCCACTCCTCAGGGAGCGGCCACGTCCTTCCAACCTAGCCCGAATTTGAATTGACACTCCCAAAATGATAAAATTACCTTTCCGCGAAAAAATATTATTAAATTAAAGTTTACAGACCTACCTTAGGTCAACACAGCACGCTCGGGAACTGATAAAAAATTAAAAATATTGAATGGGCTTAAAATTACCTTTTTATTAGTTTAGTATTAGATGACCTAGGTAGGTACGGGACTATTCCCACCTCTCGTTCCCACCGCTGCAACTCCTGTATAGACAGGATTCACAGCTTGACCGCCAATAAAACCCAACCAGTGAAGATCAAGTTTGTCCCTATAAGGGTAGACCTATAGGACGTAGTATGTAGTATCCTTTTGGAAGTTTTCTTGACTGATAGAGATCTCTTTTTAACGTTAAGTTCCCAGTTCTGATTTACAGTCGTCAGTCCCTTTAGTCCCCCTTTTCACTGGGAAGGGGAACTTGACGACTTTTACTTGTTAGTTTTGTGGATCATCAAATTCTGCAGTTCAAACAACTTAACGAGTTATTGACCCTTCTGAGTCACGAATTTATACACCTACGATTTCGGCAAACATTGGCATCTTATGTATGTGTAATAGGTCTGATTTTGCTACAAAAATGTAAAAGCTAATGTGCTATCACTTCAAGGAGGATCGAGTAAAGTTCGAGTGGATTATTTTTGAATCTATAGCATTCCAATTTGCATACGTAATCACCCCCGAAATCGTATGAGGATTCGCAGGGTTACCTACGCCATATCGAATGACAAATGATCGAAAATCAAAATATCGAATACGTTTCATCGAACGATCAAAATATCGAACGATCAAAATATCGAATGCTCAAAATATCGAACGTTCAGAATATCGAACAATCAAAATATCGAACGATTAAAATATCGAGCGATTTGCACGAGTATTTTCTTAATTTTTATCAATTTCGAGTAGGTTAAAGGTACTTACTTACTTGTTTAGATATTTAAAAGAA